GTTTCAATCGAATCTTAACGGATTTGCCCATTTTTCACCTGAAGAAGAACCAAAAAGTTCGAAAACGTTAGTGAAACAAATTAAAGCGAATTGAGCACCGTTTTGGTTATTCTAGAAGTAGGTTTGTTGAGGTTACGGTGTGTGTTGGAAGTAGTATTGTTTTCAAATAAACAAATGATAATATATACATATGCATATCTTTTTATGAATAAATTTGAAGTTTGTTGCATAATTTTTATAATTTTACAATGATCCTATATTCCCGGCACAAGCTCTTTGCTTATCGACCAATTCACTTAACGACGTAGTCGTCGGAATGGAAGTCAGTTGTAAAGTGAGGAGTACCTGTATATTTCTCTAAATCCTGCCTTATGAACTAGTTTCATTCTGTCATCTATTTCAGATTCAAATTTTTTAATATTATATTTATATTTCTTCATTTGTAAATTGACTCCTTTACTCTTCTCATTAGAAATTGGTAAATTTGTACTTGATCTGATAGTTAACTATATTGGAAAGTGATCTGATAAATCATTATCAAGTACGGTACCTTGANAAATCCTGCCTTATGAACTAGTTTCATTCTGTCATCTATTTCAGATTCAAATTTTTTAATATTATATTTATATTTCTTCATTTATGAATTAACTCCTTTACTTGTCTTTTCATCAGAAAGTGTTAAATTTAAATTTGATCTGATAGTCAATCATATTGGAAAGTGGTCTGATAAATCATTATGAAGTACCTCGAATCTAACACAATAGTCCAAGATAAATTCAGAACCTAAGATATAGTCAATCACTGATGCACCTCTCTTTGAAATGAAGATATGTCTACCAGGATAATCTTCTATCATACGACCATTTAAAATAAAGAAATCATAATTTATGGCAAATTTAATTAAAAAATTTTCTTTCTTATTAACTCCTGTATTGTGACTTCTTCTTGTATTATAAACTACCGGATTATTCCCATTATAAATTGTATCACATTTGTTTCCTATTCTGGCATTGAAATCCCCAAGAATTATTCATAGAGAAGTGAAAGGTGACCAGTTCAGAAAAGTTTTCTCCATTTCTTCAACTGGGCTTTGAAGCATTTCGTAGGGAGGAGTATAATTAATAATTATTGCTAAGCAATCATTGAAGAACCCATAAAATTTATGATTTTCTAATTTAACCATAACAAATATTAAGTAAGTACTCCAATTAAGAATGAACCAAATTTCTCAAGGATTTATTTATTAATAACATTATTCCTTTTTTTTTGGCCTACCAACTTCAGGTTTTTTTATTGCTGGAACCAAAATATAACTGAATGATCCTTGCAGGAGATCTATTTCCTTTTCAGTTAGTTTAGTATTCCAAGTCTCCTCTAGTCCTATGATATCATACATCTCTAATAGTTTTTGAAGTAAACAAAGAATAACTTATTTCTAACACCTTGGGTATTCCAATTAATGACCTTGATCTCAGATCTTTTGTTTAATGATGAATAAAATTTGTCAAAATTATCACTACTATTGTTGTTAACGTTAGTATTCACAACACTAAATAAATTAGTCAATTGATTTCTACATCTAAAAAAGATCTAGTATTGACCAAGCAATTCTTTATAAAACTATATGTAATTTTCTTATTCTAATAAATAACATAATCATTTCTTAATAGAATTTGCATACCTTTCTTCTTTGCTTTCATATAAAACATGAGAATTTTGGCTCAATGATCTCTAGTCTCGAGTGAGATCGGGAAGTAATTGTAAATTGCTATAAATCTTTTCATGGGATTCTTTTTTTGTACTTATAAAAGACTGATAATATTTGATTTTTTCTTTGAACAGTACTTAATGTAATATTTAGGATTGTGCTCTCATCTTTTCATATAATATAAGATACTGTTATTTCTTCTGCTTTAAATACAGAAAGTGGAAGAAAAGGGTAAGGCATGCATATATATATTTTTGGTATTGTAGAAAGATTACCATAGACAATGCCAATTTGTCCCTTGGTGATTTTTTGGTGTTCCCCACATGTTTAACTAAGTAGTGATAGCGACTCATTATAAGCAGTGAATAGAAAGAAGGAAAAATTATTTGGTTATTGGGCTGCAATTTTTAAAAAATTTTAGTTTTATAAATTCTCAGTTGTACATCTGTTTGTCTTTCTGTAATCTCAAGAACATAGTTAGAGAGATGAAAGCCAAGACTAGATATGGAAAGCTTAGGGGCAGGAGGCCCTAATTAACTGTATATGAACTTCTGGTGCAAACCAGAAGTCACTTTATTTCAATTAAAAAATTTCCCCTGCAAGGAGTTAGATAGATGATGGCATGACTCTATTGCAAGCANTATTTCTAGTCGAGTTAATAGAAAATCTTATTATATATTATTTGTAGATGATTTACTTTCTAAATTAATTAAATGAATAATTATTATTGTTTGTATTTCATTAATAGTATTTTCTGTATTTTTAAATTTTATTTTTGTCAAACTAATTTGACACTACTAATTTGAGGTGAATAGCATATATTTTAAATTAAATAAATTTAAAATATATGATTAAAAATTGTAGCTTGACATTGTGATGTTGTCACAATAAATAATTGCTTGTATAATTCCTTGTTCAATTTTATTTTTGTAGATAAGGGTAATATTTCCTTTTTATGGTGTTTCTAAGCAATTGATTATGATATCTAGTGGTAAAATTGACACTGATAATGATGGATGAATATGTTCTGTGCTTAGGGGATTTTTCATATCTTTTAAAGATATGGTTGGTAAGTTTAGACAAAGGAAAAATGAATGCAAAGTCAAACAACCACCAGATTACATCGGGCTACTTTTTTGTGATTATATTTAATTAATTACTAAATAATTTGTTACTAAAGTGCAGTGTTAGGTGCCCTCTATTATTAAATTTAATAATTATAATTAAATTAATATTTATTAAATAATTTAGAATATTAAGTAGCCTGATGTAATTCAATGGTTGTTTGGCTTTATAAATTTATTGAGTTTCATGTGGTTTGTTTATATACAGTTGGATGCCTTTGCAATCAATGTCAAATGTTGAAAGTGCTTCTGATGATGTTATAATAAAAACTGTTAATTACCAGTAGACAGTAGTTATCTCTTATTTTAATGGATAATATTTTGGTATGGTAAACTAATAATTTTTTTATAGATGTGCATCATCCATAGCTATTTTCAAATTGATTTTCAAACACAAGTATTCACTGGATTAATTGGAGAAAATTACAGTAATTTCCGTATTGAAGATATTTTTTAAATATACTGTAGAAATGTACAGGGTGGCTGCCATAATTTAAGTTTCCCTATTCAGAGCAATTACTCTGTAGCCATAACAAATGAGTAGATTGACATTAAAATTTTGTATAAAGACTATGTAAAAAAGGACGAGGGAAATGATTTTGCAAATAAAAATTTGTTCAAGAACTTTCACTAGGGATACTTTACAGGGAACTATATGAAACAAAACAATGAAAGCACATTAATTTGTTCAGCAATGGGTATGCCTTCTTCAGAGACTACTTGCATAAGGAATATTGCTCAATGTGTGCTCCATTGTTCAGGTGTAAAATTTGAAGGCAATGAACAGTGTGTGTTCTAAAGCTAATTGTAACTGCTCTCCAGTGATGCTTTGCACATGCAGTGTAATACAATCCATTAAATCCTCTGAAGTTAAAATATTTCCATGATAAACCATATTCCAACCCATATATGCCAAAGTGTCCCAGCAGAATTTTTTGAACTAAATTATTTTTTTTATTAAAATCCTTTCTGCATCCTTTGCGTAATCTGTAAACAAATTTTGGTGTCAATCTGCTTATTGGTTAAAGCTACAGTGTGCCTGAACAGGGAAACTTTAATTATGGCCACTCTGTATGTTACTCTGTATGACACAATGAAATGATTAATTTAATAGCTTTATGTTGAGTTTGGTCCTGATAGCACCTGGCACAAGTATCAATCAAATATTGCATTTATATAACCCTAATGATGATAGCATTGTACGGTAGAGCCTCGAAAACTCGGCACTCGATAACCCGGCACTCCGGATAACTCGGCCACACCCTGGCATGGCAAAAATACCCTTAGATAATTAATTTTCATCATAGACAGCTTTATGCCTCATAAAGTATTTTTCTGAGGTCTGTCTTATCAGGTAAATTACTGTACACAGTGTATTCATTAATTTTCATTTTCATGTAGTAAAGGCTCTATGCCTTCATAAAGTATGCACTTTTCCTTTGTTTAAGGGTATTTGGGCAGTTTATTCTCTGTTGTATTCTCAAATAAACAATACATACAAGTACAGTACAGTATTTTCTGAGGAAACACGCATACTTATCCTTTTTTAATCCCATTCCTGATAACCCAGCATTTTCACAAACTCGGCCACCCTTCGGTCCACATTAGGCCACGTTTTCGAGGCTCTACTGTATAATTATTGTAGACTTAAAAACTAGATACAGTAATAAGCAGCACACTCAACACCAATAAAAATCAGTAAAATTTAACAAAATCTAATAATGAACAAATGTTTTCAACAACATTTAGCAGTCATCATTTGGTTTTTGAATGCTCTAAAATGGAACAGTATTTTGAATATGAAGATTTTAAAAATTAGAACAGAATCTTATTGAATAGGGCTTGCAATGTCAAATTTTGCTGGATTTTATTGGTGCTGACTGTATTGTTTATGTATATGTAATCATTATAACTTATACTTGTATAATATAATCATTATTATTTAAATGTTAGAGTTACATTTATAATGTTTTCTAGTCGAGTTAATAGAAAATCTTATTATATATTATTTGTAGATGATTTACTTTCTAAATTAATTAAATGAATAATTATTATTGTTTGTATTTCATTAATAGTATTTTCTGTATTTTTAAATTTTATTTTTGTCAAAAATTGTAGAATAAAATATAGAATTTAATTGCAACTATTTACTTACAAATTATTTTCAGTTCTAGAAAATGTTATTGGTTTAGTAGAACAAGAAGCAAGAACAGAAGCGAGTAAAGAAGGTGATTTGAATAAATTTTTATTTTTTGTTTTTAATTAAATATATTTAATAGTTTTTACAGTATTGACACATATTAAAATTGGTTTTTATCTCATAAATATTCTTAATGAGATATTTTGTTTCAGTGTTAAAAGATGTGATTAATTCGGTTGAAAATCAAATTACAACAGCTGAAGGTAATTTGAGATCTTTTGTTATACATAATGCTAACGGTTATCTTATTAAACTATTATACCTATATTTTTATATAGAAAATAGATTCACACTCTAGAAATCAACTCCAGAAAAAGGTTTAATGAAACAAAAATATTTTAAATTTAATCTGATAGATCTTCATCAGTTGAACATTCCAAATAGAACATTAATAAAAAGGACATTCAATATATACCAGTAGAATAGACCACAATATAAAGTTTAAATACAACAGAAAATAAAATAAAATACTTCTACATTATTATTTATTTCATTTGTTATATATTTATTATTAATTTTTATATTATGTTATTTTTGTTCATTTATATTTATTTTATTTTCTGTTGTATTTAAATTTTATATTTTGTTCTATCCTACTGACATTTATTGAATGCTTTTTTTATTTAAATATGTTCTGTTTTGGAATGTTCAACTGATGAAGACCTATCAGATCAGGCTGAAAACGTTTTTGTTTCATTAATCATTAAACAATGCCCTCTGTGTAGAGCAGTGCGTGTGTGCTCTTTTGACAAGTGCCCTAAATGCTGCCAATCTGTATCCGATCGGGTCGCAAGAGTTTGCCGGTATATATGCTGGGAAGTCCGAGTCCTTGCGGTATATAGATGTGCTTATGCCAGACTATCCAATTTCAATGCTCACATCCAGAAAGTAATCATTAAACTTTCTGCTGGAGTTGATTTCTAAGGTGTGAATTTATTTTCTGACATTTCCTCCAATTTCTATATTTTGTTACTTTTATTTAGGAAAGAAATATATGTTAATTCATTGAAAAATCAAATGTTTGTACTTGCAGATTTTCATTTAAAATGCACAACTTTTTTCTGTAATAACATCTAAAGATTGTGTATGATAAAACATAAGCTAACTGAAAAAATTATAAAAAGTAATCTTATAATATAATTGAGATAGGTTGATAATGATAATAATAATAATAAGTGCAGAGCCCAAATGGTTAGCAGTTAAAAGTTGGAATTTGGTTTACAGTTAGAATATGTCATGAGAACATACACTAAGAAGGGATTTTTCGAAATTCCTTTGTGGGGGAGAGGGAAAGGATTAAGGCTTATTCTGAAGAACTTTGATTCTACTGTACTATTTTAGATTTGGTTTTTTTTTTTGCATTTTGACTGTGTTTTAGTAGGGTATTCCATGAGAATGCACATTAAGAAGGGATTTTTGGATATTCCACCCCCCTGAGAGAAGAAGAGGAGAGAGTTAGTTTTAGTCAGTATAAAGTGTAAATAATAAAGAAGGAATGTAAATAGTGGCACATATAGTATACATTTTGGCAATCAATAAATATTTTAATCATTTCCATTTTTCAGGTAACTTAAAAACAATATAACCGAAATAAACAAATTCAAAAGAGTATTTGAATTCATTTCAAATTTAAAATATGGAATTTGAAATATATTGTTCCAAACAAGTTTTTTTTTAGATTTTAGAATTTAAAATTAATCATTTAATTCAAGTAAGGTTATCATCAAGTAATTAATTCTCCATTATAATGAAAAATTTTCTGATTTTTTTTTATTTTATAGGTTATTTAAATTTTTTATTTTTTAGGTTACCTAAATAAAAAAATCCTTTTAAATACTAAATATTTATTCAGTTAAAATTCAATAATGATTTTAATCATTTTTTTCTATTAAGTATCTGATAAATAGAATAGTAAAAACGAGATTTTTCATAAATTTGACCCTAATCTTATAATTGAGATGGGTGGATGATAATAATAATATTATTATTAAGCACAGAGTCAAAATGGTTAGGAGTGGAAAGTTGAAATTTGGTACACAGTTAGGGTACATCATTAGAAAGAATGTACACTAAGAGACTTTCCGAAATTTCCCCTGCGGAGGAGAGAGAGAGGGTTAAGGATTACCCTGAATTTGGATTTTACTATACAATTTTAAATACGGTTTTTTGCAGAAAATCAAACATATTTTTAGACCCATCTAAAAATTCTCTAATTAGTCTGGGAAGAGGGTGAACCTAATTCTTGTACCCAGTAAAAACGGGTAAGATTGGCTATAATCTAATAATCTTAATTTTTGCTATTGTTACTTTTTGCCCGAGCAATGCCGGGCTCATCTGCTAGTAATATATATTTGCTATAATAGTATATCTTGTCAGAAAAATTTACAAAACTATACAATATTAATTTCCGTGGAATGTCTAGAAAGCTTGTACCAGGTTATATCTCTGATTTTAAGAATTTTTTAGCATGCTAAAAACTGCTTTTACATGCTATTTTGATAATTTAACCTTTGAACTTTAAAGATGAAATGATTGTAACTTTAAAATTTCAAACATTAATCTATATTATGTGCACATTATTTGAAAGGATTTTTAAGGCTAAATCTAATTATGCAATAAGATTTGAAATCAAACAAAGCATTTAGAAGATTTATATTAATAAATATACACACCTGATTTGTATTTGCCAAGTTATTTTCTTTATTCGAACGTTTTCGGCCAATTTGTATAGGCTATCTTCAGGCTTTAACGTTGTTCGTTCCAATGGAACCAATAGTTCGAAATTCATTTAAATTTGAACTTCTAACAACTTATGTGTATAAATAAATAGTTAACAATAATATCAAAAACGTGTTGCAACTTAACAATAACATGAAAAACGTAAATTAAAAATAAATATATGATAAAATATAATCTAAAATCGTGTTGCAACTTAACAATGAAAAACCAAAAAAATATAAAAAACAAAAAAATTATATCATCTTTTACTGAGTCTGAACTACTAATTCCTAAAAAATCCCGGATCATAAAAATGTTTATGGATTATTAAAATCCATACTTTTTTCAATTTTATATTTCCAAGCCGTTGGTAATGCTTTTGCATCTTTTGCATTTAGGCATCTGTCCCTCATCTTACTTTTGTAAATCTCTATTTTTTCCATTTCCATTGCTATGGAAGGTGAGTGCCCCATTCTAACAATCTTGGCTGCATCCCATTTGAATAAAGAAAATTAACTCGGCAAATACAAATCAGGTGTTTTTATTTATTAACATAAATAGCTAATATTGCTGAGAAGATAGATAGATAGCATTTAGAAGATTTATCTGAAAAATCTTACCTTTTAAGTTTTATGAAAATTGTATCTTATTGGGCTGCAATTTGAAAAAAATTGTAGACCTATAAATTCCTACAGTTGTCCATCCATTTGTCTACCTTTCCTTAATCTCAAGAATGGAGTTAGATAGATGAAAGACAAGACTCGATATGGGAACCTTAGGGCCTCCTGCCCCTAAGGTTTCCATCTACAAATGCAAACTGGAAGTCATTTATTTCAATTCAAACATTTTCCTTGAAAGGAGTTAATAGGTGATTGGCACAACTTGATTTTTAAACAAAAAGTATGAAAATGAAAAGTACAGTTCAAAACACTACTAATTTGAGGTGGAAAGCATATATTTTAAATTAAATAAATTAAAAAATATGATTAAAAATTGCAGCTCAGCATTATGACAATGTCACAATAAAATAATTGCTTGTTATTTACAAGAAAATTTTCAGTGAAAACATTATATTGTTTGCAAATAGTTTCTTGTAAATAATAAGATATTGCAGAGAGATATTGGGAATTGTTTATCAAGTTTTTCTAATAACACTGACTTTTTTACAATAATTCAAATTTAAAAACATTCATGTATTAAAGTAAAAACTTATGAAAATGTATTTAGATTGAATCTTACATAAACAACGTTACTACAAAAGACTTTATCGCTTTCATTCTTTAATTTTATTTACTTTACTCAATCCATTCATTATTAATGAAATTAAGGAGTAAAGGAAATTAACAAGATCTATTGTATTAAAATTGTGTATGCAGATTAAATTTAAACATTGTTTTGAGGCTTTTTAATTCAAAACTTGGGTATTTTTGAATATGAATCATTGTTAAGCATAATGAGTGTCATTGGGAAAACTTGTAAATGTAATTCCCAGAATTTCTCTGCATTATCTTAGTATTTTCAAAAAATTCTAATGTAAATATAGTGGATTTTGCTTAATTGGGACACATTGGGACTAATCCATTTTGGCCTAATTATTCAGCTGCTCAAATTAAACGAACTAATAATTAATTCTAAAATAAAATATGTAATATGTAGGTAAATAAATAAGTACATAAAAAAATAATAATTATGTATGTATTTTAATTCTTTGTTAAACCAAAATACAAAAGATATTTATACTATGAATTTGCCAGACTCACAACAATATATGATTGATTTGCATCATGCTAGTGTTGCTAAATATTAGTAGTGACATACACAAGGTTGACTGTTTGATCCATTCCTGATTGAACGATCTTTCCTTTCTTTCTTTTTAGTTAGAACATGTCTGGGTTTGTCCAAAAGTCACTTTATGGCCTTTCTTTGAACACAGTTTTCTTTACTTGGAGATGGGCTACTTCGGCAAGAACATCTGTAGAATCCATCATTACATTACATATGGAAGTTTAGAAGGCATTATTCAATGGTATTTCCTTTAAAGGGGATGAAAAGAAGTGAGAAGGTGTTAGACGGAAGGAAAAGCTATTTGCGGCAGAGGCCAAAGGGGATGAAAATGTGAAAGAGAAGTGAGAAGGGAAAGGGGAGGTCACCAGCCACACTAGGACTTTCATTGTAACATTTTTCTGTTCAATAAAGTAAATAAATTGATAACACAAGTAAATGGTTACATGGGTACAAATGGAAGCAGCTATATAGTGGATATACAGTCCAACTGTGGTATGACAATAAGTGATAAATAATACATACAAGAAAAAAAGCAGGTACACGTGTTAACATGATGAACAAAGTCCGTGCCTGGGAAGGCATGGAGCAAGATATGGAAGTGACAAATGCAGAAAATGGACAGAGAAAATTACAACAGATAGTTGCTGTAAAGTACAAGTGGATCCTGAATGTTGATACAAATAATAAACAGAACAAACAG